CGTTGTGCGAGACGACATGTATCTAGAATCCCTCTAGCTTTCTTTCGTTACTAGCGCTTTTTCTCACTCCCTCCCCCTTCCTTTTCGCCCAAGTTGAACGTGAAAGGTACAGGCGACACTACGCTCTGGCTGGCTAGACTGCATATGCCACGCCACGCCACACCATGTCATGCTATGCCCAAAACGCCCCCTCGGCCCGAACCTGGAGCTCTGGCCACCGGTTTCAGCGCATGTAGATTGACAAGCCAGGAAAGGAACAAAGAATAGACACGGACGGCTCGCCTCGTAACGCGTACCACTCATGGTTGTCCTAAACAAGGCCGGCAGGCGCCCAGGTCTGGTTACGCAGGCACGACAAGCACGGCACGGGTGTGTAGGCCATGCGGGCGCACGAGTTCAAAAATACCCGGTGCGAGCCAAAGTGAAGCCGGTCAAGCAAAAAAAAACCCCCCAAAAAAAACCCCCCAAAAAAAACCGCCCAGGCCGAACGCGGCTGAATTTCAACAGACAAAATCGGGACGAAGATAGGGGTGCGGCGGCATCTTGTGTTCTCACGCGCGGGGCCCTCGAGCCAGTCGGCACGGAACTTTCTCATGGACGCTTGGGCCAGTATATGTGCGTGGGAGCTGAAGGCGAGCCGAGACCATCGACTGGGCTGGACGCCATCCGACCCGGATCCATCCGGCAAGCCGCAGCATCAGCATCACCAAACTCGCCGCCGTAATCGTGGCTTCCGGGAAAGACATGTCCACACCATACTCCCCCTCAGCTCTGCCCCAGGGAGGTTAGTAGCACCTGGTGCCACCGGAGATGTGAGCCTGCCACTAGGTGTGCCGTCACGTTATCCATTGGCTTGGATTTACAGCCTCGGGTCGAGTGTAAGTGATTCTCATTATCATTGGCCCCGTTTACGGGGGAGAGTAGTCGGCCCATGCAGCTTGAAGCATGCAAAGAAAAAAAGGCCAAGATGATCCAAAAGGGGTAATGTATGTACAAGAAGTATGAAGTCCTCCGGTTTTCCGTCCATAGAGCATCGCCAAGGCGAAAAAAAAGTGCGGGTGTCTGTCTGGCTTGGCACATGACGGGTGATAAAAACGGCTCCGGGGGCCAGAGGAGCGATGGGGCTGCGGTCCGTTCGGGCTAGAGCAGGTAATGATGGCCGAGGGCGAGCAATACTGACAGTAGAGTGCCCGCTTGTCCCGTCATTAGGGGACAGGGTGCTGACATTCCCTCGCATTCGTTTGCGTGCACCACAGCTGGGTGAGCGGCGAGGCGCCCACGCCGCGCGCCACCATGCGCTCCCTGATCTCGGCCAACCTCGGGATGGCGTCCATCTGGCTCCGGTTCTGGCCCGTGGCCGGGTCGATGCGGCCCGACCACAGCACCTCGCCCGCCGCGCTGGCCCGTGGCCATATGATGCCGTCCACCGTCACCGGGTCAATCGTCTCGCTCCACACGGCCACCTCCCCGCCCAGCACGAGCTTGGCCTGCTCCGCGGTCAGACCTGCCGCTGGGTCGTACGAGTACATGAGCCTCCAGCTCTTGGTCGGGCCGCACCAGTCGTTGAAGGGATAGAACTGGTCGAACGCCGCTCCGTTGGCGAAGTTGAGCCACTGGCCCCTTCCGCAGTCAAGGTACTGTGAGTAGATAGCAGGATTAGTACACAAGATATCAAGCAGGCCGAGCCTCGAGGGACTGGCATTTCTCACCCAAAAGTTGTAGTTGCTGTCAATGAGCTTGATGCCCTTCTCCACAAGCTTCTTGGTCGAACCTAGCCAAGTCTGGACGACGACATCCTTGCCAAGCGTGACGTTCCATTCGAGCGGGATCTCCTCCCAGACCATGGGGGTCAGGCCATGCTTCCGGACCCGGTCGTGCTGCACGTTAAAGAACTTTTGCAGAAGCGGCTGCAGCACCTCGGAGCGGTTTGATCGGATGTTCTCATCCAGCATTGAGTCGTTGGCGTTGAGCTCGTCGCCGCCCGTGTGGAAGTAGGCCGTATAGGGTTCGACGCGCGGGAGGATGTCGTCAAACATCTTGCCCAGGAACTCGTCGACGCGCGAGTCGTTCAGCTTGAGCGCGCCGCAGGGCGGCTGAGCGCACCAGTAGTAGTAGGGCCACTCGGCGTACGCCACGACTAGCTCCGGGTGCGAGTGCGACAGCGACCCGATGTGGCTCGGCATGTCGATCTCGAGGATCACCTCGACGCCGCGCTGAACGCCGTACTCGTTGATGCGCCGAACATCCTCGGCCGTGTAGATAAGATCGCTCCGGTGGGCGCCCTCGCGCGCAACCTCGGGCATGGACGGCAGGTCTAGCGGCCAAGACTGCGAGTCGGTCACGTGGATGTGCAGCCGGTTCATCTTGTTCCACGACATGGCGTCAATGGTCCGCAGGATGTTTTCCACCGGGTACCATTGCCGTGCCGTGTCGAGGAGGATGCCTCGGTGCTGGAACTTGGGCGCATCCTGGATCGAGATGGGGGCGTATGGCGTGTACCAGGCCGACATGGAAGAGTGCCGGTAGAAGAGCTGCGAAAAGGTCTCGAGCCCACGGAGCACGCCGACAGAAGACACGGCCGTCAGCTTGGCGGCGCCGCACTTGCTCACCGTCAAGTTGTACGACTCATCGACCTCGCCCGCGAGCGGTTTGAACGCGCTTTTCTGGTCAGGCGCAGTTTGGGTGATGGCCAGGCTCTTGACAGTCTCCCTGACGCCTTCAAGTGGAGGCTCGAACTCATTCAAGCGGTTCTTGGGCCGTAGCTTCCAGGGTACGATACCATTCTGAAAAACAGCATCCAGCGCTCGGGAGACGCCGCCCTGGACAATCTGCTTGCTGTCTATGCTGGTGGGCACGTAGCCATACGTGTACGGCACCTGGATTTTTATGGCTTCTTTAGCACCAAGCTCGCCCTCGTCACCACAGGCGTCGCCATACCGGGGATGGGAAGAGGCAGAGGGGTAGGATTGCCAGCATACAGGTCCTCCATTGTACGTAACCTCGATGTTCGGGTTCAGAAAAAGCGACGTGTTTCCCTTGGAGTAGCTCTGCGGTGCAGGCCACAGAGCCGTGACGGACTCGCAAGAGACGAGGAACAAGAGCGATGGCAACCCACGGGGGAGCAGCATTGTGAGGGCGGTGAGGGGATGGAAAGAGAAGTCGGCCAGGTGTGTAGGGAGAGGAACAGTGTGGGATTGGGGAGGCACGTAGTAAATCTAGTTGTGCCGGCGTCGTCGGGCAATAATAAAATGGGAGAGCGGAGCGAATGGTGGTTTGCAGATCCGCGCCAAAAAGTGAATGATATCCTGGTCTAGCCCGATGTGCCCTCGCCGGGGTGGTGCCAATCAACACTGGAACGAGAACACCAGGGGGTAAAATTATTCAAGAGGAAGAACAGGAGATGGTTGCGGTTTAGTATGCCAAATGAGATGAGTGCGTGCCTCAAGGACGGTAGGGCCAAGAGAAGGCCTTGGATCGGTACCGGATCTTGACACGATTCAGCGGCCACCACTGCCCGACTAGTATCCAGAGGCACGCGTCGTTGCAAGCACGTATATATGCTTTCTTTGCGTCGCTTTGTTTGTTTGCCGACCCCTCTGTTTGTCTTCTTTCCGAGCAGGGCGACCCAGGCCTGGCCCACCAAACGGCCCTGCGGTGCACCTCTGGTCAGGGATCGGGGAGGAGCTGCGGCCCGTGACGTCGCCGTTGACAACGTCTGACCTGGTCGATCTGGGCTGGTGTGGCGCAACGTTACGTTTCCCACCAAGTCTCCCTGTGGCCGGGCCGACTGCAGCCACCATGCGTGTCTCCGCCGTCTGCAGCTCCAGCTGTCCTAGCCAAGGTGCTTCCTCGGCGGACAGGGTCGTTTGCAAGATGGACGGGACGGTCGGGAGGCAAAAGTCTGGGGCCCATACGAGGCCAGTGCTGCGTGCTAGCGATGCTGACTGGGTGTTTATTCCGAAAGCAATGCTGCAGTGATTGATATTGTAGGGATTACCCAAACAGCGCGGTCCGACTCGAGTATCTGATGGCTGATGTGATGGAGGGGTTGCAGGAGTCAATTGATAGCAGCAGATTGGAAGCAAAAACAACCCGGAAAAAAAGAAGAAAAAGATGGAACCCCGGACCTTGGATCAAAACATCCATTGATGGCTGGGCGGCAGGCACGGCACGAACTGCAGGGATTAGGGAGCGCTCTGCTGCTGCGCCAGTGGATGGAAGTCGCTGTAGGTCGCGCCTGCGGTGTGGTTACAGTTACTTTGGCCTCAATCCCACCTGGATGCTCGAGCAGAAATCAATGCTACTCTAGACTGTGCTTAAACTGGTCGCATGTGTCCAAGGATCGCCGAAACCTGTTCTTTGAGGCGGGACCTAAAAAGTCAAACATGTCTGGTTCCTGCAAGCATACCAAGGCACAAGCATAAGTGGCCATTTGGTGGCAGTAACGCCTGTTGCGGTCAGAGGCTTGGCCTCTCTTCGAACTGGTTGCGATTTACAAAGCACAGTTGCCCGGCGGGCACGGGCTACCAACTTCCATGGCGCTGCACTTCAAATCTGGTTTCCACCATCTACTCTCTTCTACTAGTTGCTCTGACGAACATTCACCAAACCCGACGACGCTTCCCTAGCGCACCACCACCCTCCCCTTCTGGATCGGCATCCAGAGCTCTTCGCTTGGAGTCCTGCGAAAAATCCCTGTCAAACGCCATCACGTTCTGGAGGGTGTTCCACAGACCCTCAATCGTCAAGGGAGTCTTGGCGCCGCTGGCTACGGCGGCAGCAACCTTGACGATATTCTGAATCTGCCGCCCGTTCAGGGGCTCGACCACTAGCCGTTCCAACCCATCGTCCGTCGAGCCACTCTTGTTCACGGTGAATAGAGAGGGGTCAGAGCTTTCACAAGTGTCCGGAAGATTGCTCCTGAAAGACGTCTTGGCCAGGAACTGACACCACAACTTCATTCGGCCGTCCTTGCCGAGGGGCGGATAATGGATCGCTACCTGTACTCGGGACTTGAACGCGGCATCAAACACGCCAACGCGATTGGTGGTGAGGAAAAGGATCCCGTCGTGGTACTCTAGGACTCTCAGGAAGACTGTGGTGCCATCTCGCGCGCCGTGTCAGCAGGAGAGATCGCCATGGCTGCCAAAAAGGCGCAGATCGGGTGAGTATTTTGGGAGAGCCAGGTGCCTGACTGGCACGCGAAACAACGCACCTGCGACGAGGCTGTTTCTTGTAATGTCCGATGTGACACTGGAGCGCTGCTCCATGAACACATCAGCTTCGTCCAATAACGCTATAGCCTTCCACCTTGCAGCGCGTGATAGGACCTCTTGAAGACCCTTCTCGACAGATTCCGAGGTCGTTCCCAAAGTGCTAGAGTCGATCCTGAGCAGGGGCCGCCGGCAGTGTTCTGCAATGCTTTCTATCGGGCGATGAGACGAGGGTGTTGTTAGCCTAAAATTCCTTGTGCGCTTGGTATGGAGCAAAAGCACTGCGTACCGGCTGTCAGTGTATTCCCCGTCCCGGGCTCCCCGTGTAGGAGAAACACGAGACCATTGCCTTTCCCGTTCATGGTTCCTCCGCTTCCGTCCCCAGACTCCCCAATCTTTCCCCGGATGAGCGAGGATATCATATTCTTGTACTTGTTGTCAAGCAACAGCGACTGAGTGAAGACTTCAGACTCGTACTGGACAGGCTCAAGGGCGCTGACAAGAACCGGTGACCACGTCCTCGAGTTTAGATCGTACGCGGAAACGTATGGGCTGCACATGATGTACTCTTCGTCTGTGAGGGTTGCTTTGGTCGCCCTGTTGGAGCGGCTGCAATCATTTGAGGCGCTGCCATCGCCGGCTTTATCGCCATCATCGTCGTCATCGCTATCATTGCCGCAACAGTTTTTCTCGGGCACGGGATCGACAACCACACGATGGATTACCTGTAAATGAATGGCGTGTGTTAGAAATATTCCCTGGGCCGCTGGGCTTCATCTCGCAAAGCTGTCGACGGCTGAAGATGCAGATTGGATTTGACAACCTACCGCTGACCCATCATCACCTCGGCAGCTGTATTGGCGATGACAAGACGTTTGATGGAAGCCCATGAGTATTTTTCCCCTTGCGAGAAGGGATTCCTTGATTGCCTCCTCTTCGGGATGGCCTTGAAGGGGACAAATGTCCATCCCATAGACCGAAACAAGCCCTGGGAATGCGTAGACGGACGTAATGAAAGAGCCGGTGGAGCGGAAACAATTGATGGCCCAGAAATTCTTCGAGCGAACGCTTTTCTTGGAATAGATGGGATGGGACAGTGACATTGATTTGAACCGAAAGACTCGAAGTGTTTTGTAGTCGATCTGGGAGGAGCTAGGCACCTTCACGCAGACTAGGTCTCCTGGTGTGAAGATTGTCCACAGGCTCGCAAAGTCGATCGTGGGGCATCCCACTGCAGTCTCGACAAAGTTGAAGTGGGTCAGGAAAGCGTCTTCGAACAGCTGCCATGCGTAGGTATTGAGATAGGTGACATGTTCTCGCGCAGTGTGATCAGTGAGTGCGAGTCCATAGCGGAGTAGCTCGTCTCGGTGGTGGAACAAGAAATAAGGCTCGTTGGTGGTGATGTTGTCCGACTTGATGTTGTGGTCCTTGTACTCTGGAATGATTGCCTTGATGACCGCCTTCATATGGGGCGACTGGAACTCGTGCATGGTTTCTTCCAGCTCATCAGACTTGTTCCAGAATTTTACCTGGACGATTGCAAACCGAAAGTCCGTGTTGTTGGGATCTCTTCCGACGTAATACTTTTTGCCGTCTCTCACCATTATTCTATTTCCAAACTCGTTGATAATGTTGTTGTAGTGCACTGTCTCGCATTGTGTGCCAGCTTCTTCGTGCAAGACTTGAACTGGGTTGTTGCGCGAAGCTTGCATTTTCTGCGTGACCTCGGCGAACGAGCCCGCGCCGTCAAACGCGGTTCTCAGTGCCAAGTCTTCGTCCATGGTGGGCTAAAGCGGAGGTGGCTGTCCAAAATCATTTCGGAAGGATGCATAGTATATACGGAGTGTGTGGAATGAGTGGAATTCTGGGGCTTGCGCCAGATTTATAGGCATTATTCGAGCACTTGCGTGTCTGGGTTGGCTGCTCTTCCGAGCCAACATACTAGCAGAAGGGCAAAAGAATGTGCGGGAAAGCATGGGTAGATGGGGCGGATGTGGGCGAGCTGCCGTATGTGCCAAGGTTGTATTGAGCTACATAGGTACCTGGGTACCTGGGTCGGTAGGTATCTAGGTACCTAGTACCGGGTACCTAAGTACGGTATGTAGCTTGGGGTTGCGGTTGTGCATTTCCTTGGCTGAACGATCCAGATCCTCTTTGTCCATCAGCGGTAAACTCAACTTGCGCTGCAATCCTTGCAAAGCTGAGTGGTCGGCAGATTTCCCAAAAATGCACCATCACAGCCTCGAGTCGTTTTCCGCAACATGTTCGTCTTGTGCAAGATGAAGCCCGTGGAAAGCTTCCTCCTTGGGTGTTTCTTCCAGCCACCGTTTTAGCATTGCCGTGTTTCGACTGCGTTTTCTTTGCGTGTCGTCTTTCTTTCCATCTTGAACTGCGTCGAAAATCCTCTCCTCGGTAGGAAAGTTGGCAGTCTAAAATCTCATAATTAGCGAGCCAAAGCTGGTGACGGGATGCTCCCGGATGTTATGTAGATCCTGGGCATTTCCATTCGATGATATATGGCAGCATACCTTGCGTTGCTCCTCAAACTTCATTATTTCAAGACTTTGCAGGCACACTGCTGCGATGCGTCGAAACTTGGTGTTGCTGCTCCCGAGGAAAACGAGTGCCTCAGCGTGGGAGGGAAGGTCCGTAACTTGTGTTGGAAGGCCGTACGCGAGGGTCGAGGTTGATGCCAGTGTACAAACACTCACTATTCTTGGATGTGTAAGGCGGTTCGCAGGCTGGAAATATTCTGGAAAACACTTTGATGCTCGGGTATTTTGGCCAAGCCCATGAAGCAGGGAATGAGACCCGACTTATATATGCATGTCGTTGCCGTTACTTGTCGCCAGAGCGTCTTGCACTGCTATAAGGCTTGCTGACCATGGCTTCGCCATGGGAACTTCTGGAGCGGGACACTGTAGCAACACGGCACCAACAAATCACTACCTGGCCTCCGGGCTCCGGGAAGTCTGTCGCCTTCTTCTTGGCAAGACGATGCTTTTGGTACTCTGGACAGTTCAGCATATTTGCGGACTTTGTGGTCGTCGACTGCGTTCGAGCATTACCGCTTTCGGGCGCTTGACACGCGCCAGCTCCGTATAGTGGTGACTGTGGGGTTCTCATGTTGGGGCGTCGGACTTTGTGTGCTACTGCCTTGGGACTTTTTCTGGACTTTTTTTCGGCAGACCATCGGTGCCGATCAAGGGGAAAATACAGCGGAGTGGGATCTCAGCCCTGGTCGGCGGGGCTTTTGAGGACTTTTAGGGACTTTTTCTAATGGCTTTTATCGTTACCATCGCCAGATCTAGTTTGGGCTTCTTTTTTTTCTTGTTTTTATTTTATTTTACTCCCCGGCCCGGCGCCCGCCACGCGTTGTTTGCATTATCCGCCCTGCCACGCGTGTCTGCATCATGGTGCAGCCCAGGTGCGCCACCTCAGCTCGGCATGGTTCTCCTCGGTGGAGTGTCACGCCCGGATAAAAAAAAACGGGACACTTTTCAATTGGCGGTGGTATGCACTGGGGCAAAAATTGAAAAGTGTCTCTTTTTTTTGATCCGGGCGTGAGTGTGCAGCGGCATGGGGGGCCTCGAATCTGCGGACAACTGCGGATTTTCTTAGTGTGGGATTTCGCTGCAGATCAATGGATGGCAACCAGCGGCGTCCTCCGTACTTTAGGGACATTTGCGGACTTTCGTTGATGAACACACTCTTCCCATTTCCTGCAGAATTCGAGCTACGTACATACGAGGTACTAGATACCTGGCAACTCGCAACCAGTTATAGTTCGCCGGCGGGGTATCTCGCCCAGGCCATTGAACGAGCAGGTCTGCGCAGCAAAAAGATCCGATCCTGCGAGGCCTCGGTTTGTTCTAGCTCGTCCTCGGCAAGCTGCGCCAGCATCTCCTCGTCAATACTCTGCATCAAACTCGGTTTCCATCACACCCTCTAGCGACCACGGACATCGTCTATTATACACCATGGCAGGCAATTGCCGTCGGCCTACCACGCACGAGGCGAATGCCTGGGCGGCGGCGGCGACGGCCTACCACTCGAACCACTTGCACCAAGCTGCTCCCAGGATCTCGCGTCCTCAGAGCAATGCTCTCCCTCCAGGTGGACATCTACCAGGGGCTGCTGAGGTCGGCTACGATGGCATTGTTGACTCGACTCGGCATCCTTCCGCTTCATCCTTTGCACCATCGTTTCATGTGCCTTATTTCGGCCGGATGTCGCACTCACCACCGCCGTCACCGCCGCCGTCAATGCAACTAGGGAATGCGATATCCTCCAGCTCGTCTGCTAGTTTCCAGGATTTGCAGGTTGAAAAGTTGCCTGACAAGAAGATACCGGTCCGAAGACGGGCACCGCCGGACGCCAAATGGGAGCAGCACAAGGAAACAATCCACGGGCTTTATATCAACGATGGTCTTACTCTGGGTAAAACTATGGAAGTCATGAAAGAGTATGGGCTGTATGCATCGTAAGTATCTTGCTACCCATGGTGTTGATGTGATCAGCGCTTGTTTATATCCCTAATCGTCCACACAGGAGAACGGTGTTTGCCGAAAAGCTATCTTCCTGGAAGTTCAGCAAGAACGTCAAGAAAAAGGATGTCTATGAAATAGTGCAGAAGATCAGCCAGAGGGATCCGCAGAAAACTGAGGTCCTCAAAGGGGGGCGGAAGGTGATCTTGGGTGGCATCCAGAAGCGCTACGAGAGGTATTGTCGAGCTGGGTTGCAGCCAAATACTTCTCCCCAGTGTATTAATCAACCTGTCGTATCTCTCTCGCTGCCTACCTGTTTATTATTTGCTAACATTAGGGGCGAACAGATGGTACCTCTCCTTCAACGTCAACCGATATTGTTGTCAGGAGCCCTCTCACCGGTACCTCGCCCAATTCTAATGGAGAAGCGTGTTTGCATCCTCGATCGGTAATACCCCCAGTCACTGAGCCCTCGGCGCCTTCAGCAAAGACGCCAGCTGTCGACAAGGGATGGCAGGAGACCCCAATCCTTGAACCGCTTGGGATTGATAGTCGAAGCCTGACATTGGTAGAGCTATTGTGTCGGAGGGAGGCCGCGAGGGGTCTCCTGGAGGAGGGAAGCCCGGCCGATGCAGCCTCCTCTCTGCTCACAGTTCTCTGTGGACTGCGGTGCGAACTCGGCCCCCGGCACTGCCTTTCGTTATCAACCTCCTACGCCGCTGCCGATGCCTACATCCAGTCCGGCCAGGATGAGAAGGCGTTCCAAATTCTTGACTGGGTGTCAAAGGGCCACAGCGAAGCTGTTGGTCTGTGGAGTTTAGACTCTCTCAGGCATTACTTGCGAGTGGCGGAGATGCTCCAGGGCCTTCACCAGCCTGTAAGGGCCAAGACTCTGGCTTTCAACCTATACCACGCCATCCGCGATGGGTGGGAGTCAGATTGCGGCAAGTTTATTCCTGTTCCTCGCCTGGCAGTGCCAGAAAAGACAAGTTTGCAATCTCATGCTGGGACTCTGTCGCTCGAGATCGATATCATCGATCGGGTCATCAGTAACTCCACTCAAGACACAGCACTTGAGCAGTGGACTGCTATCATGCGCCTCTGGACGGTAGCGGGTGTCCCAGGTATACTGCCAGCCGTCAAGAGACTTATGGAGCTGGGTTCCGGAGAGTCGCCATCGCATCAAGAGGAGTTGCGCTTGCGTGCACGATGTATGCTCATCAAGACATTCATCGCCGAAGGAAATGAAGATCTTGCGCAAGCCGAGTGCAAAACAGCCAGGGACGAGCGGCCGCATCCATTCGTGGTAGCGGCAAATGGGCCACGCTCTCTAATGTCTCCATGGCGCTGCCGTGGCACCTATCCGCCGCTGTCGAGTTGGCCTCACTGCACTTTGACTGCAACAACCATGATCGGGGCCTGCGCGTTCTCGAGTGGACAGCTGCCCATCTAGGACAACCCTTGGAGCCTACCAAGACCACGATAGGCTACTCCCTCGCGACTGCCTGCTTGCTCAACGAGCGGTTCTACATCGAGGAGGCTCTGCCATGGCTAGAGCGGGCGCTCGCCACTTCCACGAGACCTAACGGACCAACTTCCGCTTTGTCACCCCACATTCAAGATGCCCTTGGGCGACAGCGTGCCCTTATAAAACCGCATACCCTTGGACAACAGCCTTCCGGGAAGAGCCGTGGCATCTTTGAGTTCTGGGATCTATCTTGGGAGCTCTTGCGTCTTGTTGATGCCGACCGGTTTGACCTGAAAATCCCTACGAGCATGTGGCGACCTCACGGCCCCTCTTCTGGGTGATTCCAAACGCACCCATTCTCACCGACCTGTCCGCCAATGTTTCCAGCCAGCTCCATCCCACTCTCATCTCTACTGGACCGGCGTCACCTCGGCTCGATCAGATCCCGGGAATACCAAAAAGATTGCCTACGTTACCGGTAGCTCCAGCCTGATTCGGATCTTGTCCGAGGACGTGCGTGGTGCCAGCGCGAGTGCAAGATGCTGCCCTTGGCCTGGTTCGGACTATGTCCGGGGGGGCAGATATGGGAATCAACACAGCGCCGGGTATGCCCTTCGTACGACTCGGACCTTTCCCGGGCCCAGGACTCGTGGCCAACACGACCCCCAGGGTGTTGCCCCAGTTCCCGGCACAGAGCGATCCATGGGTTCCCCATCTGTGCGGGGACGAAGCCCCCTTGCATGACCAGGAAGCGCAACCCACCTAGATATTGCTATTGTCTGTTCCTTGTTACTGGGTAACATGGCGGTTGCTGGCTGCTGGGGAAAAGGCCGACTGGCGCTGGGAAAGCAAGGGTAAAATTCGTGGGCGCCATGTCACCCACGGCAGGTCAGGCTATATTTATCCCGACCCGCCCTTGCTCTCGACCACAGTCTCTGCTGCCCGTTTCTCCCCTGCGGAGCGGCTGTTTCGCGAGAAGATGTCACAGCAAAGTCGGCAAGATGGCGAGACCCAACATGATCAAGGCCACCAAAAAGGCCATCAAAGGCAGCCCGCGGGGGGTCTTTAACTGGTATCTCCTGGTCTGCACCTGGGCCTGGGGTTTCTCCGGCGTGGCCAAGGGCTTCGACGAAGGTAAGCCTCCCCGGGCCGTCCCTCGCCGTCTCCCAAGCCCGCTAGCCTCTGGGCGCTCGGCTTTTACTGACTGCTCGGCGCAACGACAGGCAGCATCGCGTCCCTTGTCATCGTGCCATCTTCCGCAAGCGTTTCGGCATAGACAAGCAGTCCGAGGCCGAGTACGCCAACACAAAAGGCTGGATCGTCGCCATCGCCACCGCCGGCGCCGTGTTCGGCTGTCTGGCGTGCGTGTGGCTCACCCAGCGCTTTGGCCGCACGCGCACCTTTCAATTCTTTACCCTCGTTTACATCGCCGGCGTCCTCGGGCAGGCCTTTAGCAATGGCAACCTGGCCGCTCTGTATGCCACGCGTGTCATCTCTGGTATTGGCATCGGCGCGACCACTGTCCTCCCGTCCGGTAAGACGGTCCCAGTGCACCCCCAAAGTAGGCCTGGCCCATACTTGGCCGCAGGGTTACTAACACAAAGAATTTCCCCCTTGACTAGTCTACATCACCGAGATCGCGCCCCAGTCGGTCCGCGGGCTGCTGACGCTCCAGTACACGTGCTGCCAGCAGCTGGGCGTCGTCTTTGGCTTCTTCTTCAACTACGGCATCACGCGCTACCACGCGGGCGCCGACGTGCAGTGGATGCTCCCGACGGCGCTTCAGGCGGTCCCCGCCATCATCTGGGGCGTCGGCACGCTCTTCACGCCCGAGACGCCGCGATTCCTGCTCATGCAGGGCAAGCGGTCCGAGGCCCTGGCCACGCTGTACCGGTTCCGCGGCCTGCCCGAGGACCACGAGTTCGCGCGGGCCGAGTTCGGCGGCATGGAGGCGCAGCTCAACCACGAGATCGAGGTGGTGGCCGGCGCGGGCACGTGGGACCTGGTGCGCGAGACCTTTACCGACAGGCCCAACCGCCGGCGTTTTATCCTCATGTTCGCCTGCCACGTCCTCGGCCAGTGGTCGGGCGCCAACGCCATCACGCAGTACAGCCCCACCATCTTCGGCTACCTGGGCATCCAGGGCACCGAGTCGCGCTTCCTGGCCACGGGCATGTACGCGGTGCTCAAGTTCGTCACGGTCCTGCTCTTCTCCGTCTTCGTCATCGATTTTATCGGGCGCCGCCGCTCGCTCATGACGGGCATCGCGCTGCAGATCGTCACGCTCGCCTACGTGGGCGCGTACCTGGGCGCCACCAACGGCCGCACCGTGGCGCAGATCGAGGCGGACCCCCAGGCCGTGGCGGCCAGCCGCGGCGCCATCGCGGCCATCTACCTGCACGCCGTGGCGTGGTCCATCGGCTGGTTCTCGATCCCGTACCTCGTGTCGGCCGAGGTGTTCCCGCTCCGGATCCGGTCCATCAACATGTCGGTGCTCATGGCGGTGCATTGGGCCATGTACTTTGGCTGCAGCCGCGCCATGCCGTCGCTCCTGGCCGCCACGGACCGCTGGGGCGCCTTCGTCTTCTTCCTCTGCATCTGCTCCGTCTCGCTCGTCCACGTCTACCTGGCCCTGCCCGAGACCTCGGGCCGCTCGCTCGAGAGCATGGACAAGCTCTTCGACGTGCCCTGGTACCGCGTCCACAAGATGGCCTACCCGACCGCCGACGACCTCAAGCCCGCCGTCCGCGAGATCCTCGTGTCCGACGACGAGTCGCCCAAGGGGCGGGACGAGGAGGGCTCGAGGAAGCACGTAGAGAACAAGCGCGCGTGATGCTCTGTTCCGGCAGGGGTCATCCGTGCCGACTCCCTGGCATGTATGCACCCCTAAGGTCACGCCTTCGTAGTCCCAGTACCCCCATGTATCAACCACCGGGCGCTAGCCAAGAAATAAATCCGGGTCGAGTTACTTTTTTTTCCCCACTCCCACGCAAAATGCCAAGATCGGTGTTCCCTCCTGCAAACCCTTGCCTCTTCCAGAATTACCTTGTTGGCCTTAGAGACCACAGGGAACGCAAGCCAAGACTGGGGGAAAGCACGCTGGAATCTTGCTTAAAAAGAAAAAAAAGCGCACTCAATTAGGTCCCATAAAAACTAGCGGCGAGGAGGCTCCTCAGACCGAGTCGCGTGGCAGCCCAGCGTCGGACCGAGGCCGGTGGGGAGACCCCTGAATGTGGGGGAGGCTCGGGGCCTGTCCGACGAAGCCATGACAGCCCTGGCATCGTTCGAGAGCACAACAGCATTACAAAAGCAGAGCTAACAGGACAGGCCTGTGGGTGATGGTGTTTAGCGTCTCCCTACATGTACTTTCGGCGTCATCCGACTCTTGGGTTGCCGTGGAGGCTCCAGCCATACACATGGCCTTCATGCACGCCATCTCTAGGCTCTGGGGATGTTGGTCGCCCAAGTCCTTCTGCATGTCCTTGAGCGCCTCCTCCGCGATCTCAAGACCACGACGGTAGTCGCCGCGAATGACGGCGACTTGGGCAAGTTCCTGAAGCATCATAGCATGGCTGAGCTGGATGCTAGAGGAGATGGAGGAAAATACTTGCGGCGGGCTGAGAGAGGTTTCTTTTTCTCTCTTCCTGGAGTCGTCGTCCATGATCTCTTTGCTCTTCTCGAATTAGCCGAGATGTGCATAGGCGACGGCGAGAATTCACACAAAGCTAGAGTCAAACTCTGTGCGGTCTTCCTTCTTGTTCCGCTCTTGTGCCAGAAGCTCTTCAATCCTTGTGACTGCTTCGTGGTATTCGCCCCTATACACGTGCAGCGCTGCCACACACCCAGCACATGCATTTACTGGGCTGTGCCTCATGCATGCCCAGCTGACAACCCCAGTTGGTGTAGCCATGGAATTTGGAGGGGTTCTTCTATGCACCCATCACCTGCCTGGGTCGCTCCTCTAGGTGATCGATGTGGTTGGCTCTGCATCCAAGCCGAATATGGCGATACCAAGCACGAGGCGGAATGTGATAGAGACCAGACATAACATCTCCTTTTCCCAAGCACAAGGCAGAATGTGATAGAGACCTGGGATAGCGTCTCCTTTGTTCCAGTTCACGGACCAACACCACAAGAGTCATTTTCTACACCTGACCAGTCCATCAGATCTGAAGGGCCTCCAGTTTCGACGGGACATCTGCAGACCTGTCCGCGCCGAGAGCAGCCTCGGTCCTAGACAATAGATACTTCTCAGCATACCAGCAATCATGGGATAGCAAAGTCGCCAAAAACACAGGGCCGCACTTACAAATTCTCAAAATCTCCGTCGCTCAAGCCCGTCAGGTCGTACGCCGTGCCGTCGCCAAGGACCAGGGTGTCGGGCCGCACGCATTCGGCGGGCGTGGCAGCAGGGCCCGCGGCACGCTTCTTGGAGATGCCGGCAGTAATGGCCATGACGCTGGTGAAGTTGTATCCGGTGACGTCGTTGCAAATAGACGGCCGCAGGTCGGGGCCGGGACTGATCCCAGCGCAGATCCCCTTGTAAGCCCTCACTACCGAGCCTTGAGGAACATTGCTGGGAATCGCGGACGCAAAAATAATGCCCGAGGCGCAGCAGACGTGCGGGGAAAGGCCACGGCAGACCAAAAAACCCCCTTTGCAGTTGCTAGATTGGTACATGGCCACGTCGACGGCCGAGGCCGTGCCCAGGAGACTGAGGACAGCAATGAAGGGCTTCATTTTGGTAGGTTGGTGAGGGCCAAAGCAGTGATCTCAGGAGCTTGGGGAGCTACGGCTGCTGGCGATATGAAGGGCATCTGTCACCAGCAGCATATGGGGCAAGGCCTTGCTTTATACATAGACCTCACAGTATAGCTTCCTGCGCAAGCTACATGACTACAAGAGCATTTGGACCGGTTTTTGCCGACATCCACGTGCCAAGAGCCTTCTCGTCAACCCAACCTAAGCGAGATGCAGAATATTAGCTCTTATGCTCACTCACCTAAGCACATAAGCCTTGGGCTGCCTCTGGTGTCCACTCGCCATCCCTAAACGGCACACCGTTGTTATCATCGCGTATAACCGGATAGAATCTAGCCATACGGAAGGAGCCGAAACTGTGAGGCGCATCATATTTCCCAGCTGGGCACAAAGCTACGAGTCTGAGATGATGGTGGTGTGGATTCCTGACCCAGATGTGAATGGTAGCAACGCTGTTTTTAGGGGGTTATGAATACACTTCGGACTGTTCGCTCGGATCCTTCTCTCGGATTCTTCTCTCGGAACCTCTTGCTTTATGTTTTTGGTTCATGCCCTTAGTTCGTCTTTGCGCCCTATGACTGCATCTTGTCATCAAATCTGCTTTTATCTAACTCTCCTTCTCCCCTCGTTTACCACCATCCACTTGTTGTGAATTGCACAATTCTTGTGATTTTCGTATCATGCTTCCATACAGCACCCGCTAGCTGCGAGCAGGCAAGCTCCTAAAAAGGGTATCTTTGTTAGATACTCGATTATTCGGGATCGTTGCGAACTGGGTGCAGCTTCAGTATCCAAGTTCAAGATTTCCCCAAGATTTGTTCATGCACTTTTCTTCTCACTTCAATTTCCATTCGTCAAACCCGACTTTTGTGGATCGACGATATAAATACGGTCTTTTTTCAGCACCATTTATACATGTGCCAACTCCGGAGCCCCGGCCTAAAAACAGTTGCATCCCACAGGTCTCCAGAGAACGGTCGATTCCTAGAGTCGAAATAAAGCTGGCACACCAGGGGTGGGCAGATGAACACGCCAAACTTTATGTGGGGTTTGGAGCTCAGGGCCCACCTGCAAGGGGCAGCCAACACCCATCACTGGCCCAATCAGCGAGTACCAATTGGCTGTCATCAGCTGGTGATGCCATCAGAAATGTCGAATCTGCATATTTTCACCATCGCCAACCCTCTCCTCGCAGCCCTCCCAGTGGAAGAATGCCAGCCCCTCCAATAACTCAGCCGTGATCTAGCCATCACATATTCGCCATGTTGGTCTCAATAGGGCGCCGGGCCAGCGCCCGCCGCTGCCTGCAACAGCGCAGCTCGCCGTGGCGTGGTCTGAGACCTTGGGCAGTCCCAGCATCGCTCGCCAGCAGCGCCGCCGGCTGGCCGGCCATCACCAGGGCATACAGCTCCCGCACCAGCAGCAGCAGCAGCAGCCGTAGTGGCGCCCACAACGGCACTCGCAGCAGCAGCAGCCCCCGCCCGCAGCGGCCCGCCACCATCGCGGTGCTAGGGGGTGGCCTGACGGGCCTGACGACGGCCTTCTACCTGACCAAGTTCCTGCCCTCGGCCCGCATCACGCTCTATGAGGCGTCGGATCGGCTGGGCGGCTGGGTCGACTCGCACACCATGGACCTGCGGAGGACCCTGCCCGACGGCAGGCCGGCGCGCGTCGTGTGCGAGTACGGCCCGCGCCTCGTCTCGCCCACGGGAAAGAACTTTGCCGACACACTGGTCTACGCGGAGCTGCTGCACCACCTGGACCTCAGGAGAATGATGTGGACCCTGGACAAGAACCGCGTCGGCCTTACACCCGACCACAATGTGTTTGAAGACATCATTGGGCGCCGCTACATCTACTACCCGGACCACCTCGTCGAGGTGACGGGCCTCCCGAAGCTCATGTGGAGGTTTCATCCCCTTGCTTCCTTGGGGGTCCTCCTCCGCTACCTGTGCGGGATGGCGCGCAAACTCGTCACCGAGCCCATGTTTGACGGCGCGGGCCGCGCGCTGGCTGCGTGGATTTCTCCCAAAGGCAGGAAACTGATGCGTGAACGTGGCGCCAAGGCCCGGCACAAGCTCGTCGAGGTGCTCGCCGCGACGCCCGACGAGTCGATCGGCGACTTCTTTGCGAGGATGCTCGGCGGCCGGAAGCTAGTCGACAACGTGCTCGCGGCCATGGTTCACGGCATCTACGGCGGCGACCCCTGGCGGCTGAGCGTGCAGTCGTCCATATTCATGACTACCGTCATCAGACGCGCCGCGGGGCTGAGGGCCTCTTTTGGTCTCCAATCCAAGGCGAACACGGCGCTCACCGAGGAGATCTATCTCGATCTCACGAATAAGGGCGATGCAATCAGGGCCTTGTTCAGCGACGGCATTGTCTCATTCGACAGGGTTGCCGCGAACGGGTTTAAGAACGGCTTCTCCACATTCACCAACGCGATGGCCGACGCTCTGCGCGCCAACCCCAACGTTGAAATCAGGTTGAACGAGCCCGTGACCAGCCTGACCTACGTCCAGGCCGGCCAGGAGTCCAGTGTCCGGGTAAGCACGGACTGAAGGGAGTACCTACCTAGGTACCTACCTATCCCCGAGCCTTGGTATTCTTCCTTCTTGCCAACTGACACGCAAAACAAAAACCCCTTCCCCGCCGCCGCCAACCCACGCACGCACACATACACACAGGTCAAAACAAACAAGAACAGCCAGAGCTTCAATAAAGTCATCTCAACAATCTACGCCAAGACCCTGGCCGACATTACCGACGGCCGCCTCCCGGCCCTGGCCGACACCGAGGCCGTGACGATGCAGGTCGTCAACCTCTACTACCCGGACCCGGGCCTCAACCACCCCCACCGCGGCTTCGGCTACCTGGTTCCCCCGACGGCCGACGTCGAGCCGGGCGTGCTGGGCGTCATCTTCGACTCGGACCGCGAGGGCGCCATAACCGCCGCCATTGCGCGCCGCCACCTCGAATGGCGCGCCCGCCACGGCGACCCGGACCTCACCGTGCCCCAGCTCCCCCACCCGTCGGGCGACACCATCCCGGGCACCAAGCTGACCGTCATGCTCCGCCTCGACGAGCAGACGGGGCCCCGCACCGACGACGAGGCCTGCCGCCTCGCCCACGCCGTCGTGTGCCGCCACCTCTCCCTGCCCCACAAGTACAGCAGCCGCGACCGCACCTTTGCCTCGGTCAAGACGGCCCGCGACTGCATCCCCCAGCACCGCGTCGGCCACCGCGCCCGCCTGGCCGCCGCCCACGCCCAGCTGCTGGCGGCCTACGGCGGCCGCCTCGCCGTCGCCGGCCCTTCGTACACGGCCCCGGGCCTGCTGCCCGCCATGCGCGCCGCCCGCGACGTGGCCGCCGAGGTGGCCGGCTGCGGCTACGAGACGGCCTACGCCCGCAGGATGGCCCTCGACCCCGGGGCCCACCTCACCCTCCAGTTCGACCGCGACCCGGACTTCGACCCGGTCAGGGAGGTGGTCGGCGTCGGCGACACGGGCCTGGCCCGCTTCCGCGACGACAAGACCTGGGCCTCGGACTTCTTCCCCTTTAGCAGAAGGGTCATCCGGTACCCGGGCTTCGACAACAAGCCCCCGAGGTACGCCAGATGGGACCACAAACACGAGTGATTCCTTCTCTTTTCGCGCAAAAAAAAAAAGGGCAAGTAAAACGCACTTTTGTTGTATTTTATGTGGCATCAATAATTATCTCGACACTCTACATGAGCGCGCATGTTTCTTCTTCTTTTTTTTCTTTTTTCTGCTTTTAGTCTCCCCAATCACACACAACCCCAGCTTGCCTGGCCATGACGGACAGACGGCCACCAAGGGGTAAAGATAATACCGCTACTGGTGACACTGAAAAAACAAAACAAAAAAAGACACGCAATCTATCGCTCATAGTAGCGGCGCGTCGTAGGTATCGTTCGTGCGGAATACATGAAAAAGGGCCGCGCCGACATTAGGAAATTGTAATAGGGGGGCGTCATAATTTTGAAATCCACCTCCAGGTTGCCTAAAACCCTCCCCAACACGCCTTTGCCTTGCCTGATGATCCCCCCAGGAAACTTCCTGTCTAGGCGTATGTAGGCATTCTTCGAGGGCTCCCGTCAATATGCTAGGCCCGACGGCTTGACGTCCTCTTGAAGCTCAGGGCTTTCTACTTTCACCCTTTCTTGCGGCTCAGCGCTCTCGACCTGGCCGTCCTCTTGCGGCTCAACCTTGGGCTTCACGTCCTCTTCCGGCTCAGACTTTGCCTCCTAGGTCAGGTCGACCACGTCGTTATTTCCCTTGGGCGCCTGCGGGGCCGGCCTGGTCTGTCTCACCTGCCCGCCCGGCCTCTGGACGTGCGGTGGTCTGCTACCGTTCGCGTGGTTCGCCAGGCCCTGGCCCACCATGCCTTGCGCCTTTGCCTTGGCCTGTGCCTGCAGTTGCGCCTGTATCTGCTGCGCCTTGGCCTGCTGCGCCTGCATCTGCTGTGCCTTGATCTGCTGCGGTGTCTGTCCTAGGCTGCCGGCTGGTGGCGGATGATGCGCCATTGACTGCTGATGCTGCAGGTGCTGCGCAGGCGCAGCGGGGAGTGGCTGTTCCAGCACCGTCCTCACCGCCTTGTCCACGACCTGCAGCAGCTCCTCGATTCCGGCGGCTGGCCTGCCCGCCGCCGCGCGGGACAGGCCCTTCCAGTTAACGCCCTTGCCCTCCCACACCTTCTTGAGCGCCTTGTCGAACTCGTCGCCCTCAGGCGCCGCCCGCCGGTCGCTGCGGCAGATGTGCCACCAGGCCTCGCCCCTACGCTGGCGCAGACGCACGTCCAGGTTGAGTCTCCGTGCAGGTGATGACGAGAGCGTGTAGCGCAGAGTTGTCCAGTCGAGCGTCTTGTTGAAGATCTCGAGCATGCCTCTCCGGCTGATTTGCAGCTGCTGCCACGACTCGTCCACGGCCTCCATCCCCCGCACGGCGGACAGCGTCATTGGCAGCCAGAACGGCAGGCTCTCGAGCCCCTTCTCGCCATTGACCAGTGTCTGCAGCATGTCCAGGACCCGCATGTGTGGGTTGTCCGGTTCCAACGCCACCTTGACCGACTTCGGCTTCCGCAGATCTAGCCAGACCTTCCACCTGCGTACAGGCGCTTCTGGCTTCACTAACGAAGCCCCCGCCTCGCTGTGCACTGGAGGCGTGGGTGGCGACGGGTCCGCGTACGTGAAGACAACTTTGCGCAACGTGATCGACTCACACTCCACACCTTGTCTGTTCCTCCCGATCGAGTCGAGGAACTCAACCAGACGCTCGATCGCCTGCAGCCGTGACGCCAACGAGCTTATCATGGACTCGCCGAAGCCAGCGCGGATGCGGAGAGAAAACTCGCCTGTCCGGTGGCTGAAGGACACGTCGTGGTCAACCTTGGAGCTCAAGAGCCTGAACTTGCTCTTGTCGAGTACGACAACGCTCGCCGACGCTGTGACGCATATGTAGGGGTCATTACGGGTGGATGCACCAGCCCTAAACATGCCCCTTGACGCAAGCTCATCCGAGGACGCCGGTTGCACACCTGTGACGAGAAGACGGACGCTCTCGGCTGCCCATGGCCTCCCGCGCCGCTCTGTGCGCCCACCCTCGACCCCAGCGTCTACCAATTGTGCCCGCGCCGACGGCAGTATCTCCGACAGGCGGATAAGAATAGTTGGGAGCTTGAGGCGCGGGGGCATGTTCGGGCTCGGAATATGGCGCGTCATGTGGCGAATTCTCCTCGACCGAAGCTCCCGCACGTCTGTCAACTGCGTGATGATGGCCGTGACAAAGACGGTCAGGTCTGAGAAGAACGGATCCCCCAGATTTGGCTGGCCTGGAGTGAATGGTAGAGGTACGTGGCTCCGGATACGCGCTCCGGTTGGATGGTTGGCGCCACTATGATAGAGTTAGCAATCGAGTCCAATGAAAGCCCAGAAAGCTGAGAAATGAGAATACGTACAGCTCGACCAGCCACCACCGATCCCCACTGAGGCTGAGGCTGACCAGAAGGAAGAACTGGGGATTCCAGCCTTGCCGTTTGAACCAGCCAAGCGCATCAGTCGCCTCGCGGTTGGTAAGAATGGATCGCAGGTCTTCCATCTTGACGGGCGATCTCACGATAGGCTGCCAGCCGAGACTCTTTCCGCGGCGCATCAGTTCCTCCAAGGCGTGGATATTGCGTAGCCTCTCGAGCTCTACCACTGGATCCTTGCCGAACATGTTCAGGCTATTCTCCCCAGCGGGTATCAGCCGCAGCCTGGGCTCCAGTGCATACAGGCCAGTGATGGGGTCTATCCGAACAGTGACCGTGTCGAGATGGGTGAACTGCATCGTCAGGCGCGATTCAGTCGGCTCCATCTTGGAGATGTGCAGCCCCAGGGAAGCCTCCCGTTTAGCGAACCTGGGCTTCTCGAGGAGCTTAGCGTGGATGGCCGTGAGGATCTGCTCGACATGGCGGGCGATGACCGCCTTGAGCACCGTCTCGGTCGAGATACTGACGAGATTCAGCGGGACGTTGGCACCCTTGATCTCAAGATTGTTCCTAAACCACCGCAACGAGACGTAGCTCTTGAATTTTGGGTGTGGCTGTGCCCCTGGCGGAGGGGCGCCGCTGTGGACGCCAATGATGATCCAGTTTTTAGGCGCATTGGGCGGGTAGCGAGACGTCCAGTACTGTATTGCCAGCGAGCGGTTGAGAGGCTCGATTTTGAGCGTGTCGACCCATCTGCTGCGCCCGAGCTGCAGCGCCTGCCTCCTCAGCTCACTAACCTTGTGCGTCAGAACCAACTCGTGCAGGTACTTGTAGCACCCAGCGAGCCCTTCTGACGCCAATATGTCGTTGACCTTGACTTCGAGGTGCAGCCGAAAGGTTTCCGAGAGTTCGGCCGGCGATGGGGCGAATAAATAGCGAAAGTCAATGAACCAAAACTGCTTCTCGACGTCTTCATCCGCGATCGTGAGATCGACCTCGAACTCCCCTTCAACCGTGAACGTCACGCGGCCAGAACTGATCTTGTAGCTTCGGAAGTGGTACGGTATCTTTTCGTGATCGCCAATGGTCAACCGCAGTGACAGCAGGGTGTTGATATCGTCGAGCCACTTCAGCTGGTCCTTGGCCGTTAGGGGTGGAGGCTCGATGTAACCAAAGTCGGGCAGCCAGGGAGCGTTTCCAGTGGTCAGCACCTGAAGAGCCGTCTTCAGGTCAGGGCTTGGCAGCCTCGCATAGGCCAGGTTCCTCTTGCAGGTCATCATGCTGTCCAGGGCCAGGTCGTACGTCATCATCTGCTGCTGCAGGTGGCCTTTTAGGTCGATCAGTTTGCTGACCAGGCCCGCCTTTTTGCTCCATTCTGTGATAACCAGCGCCTTGACCCATTTGGCGTGCTGCTCCTGGGCGAACCTGAGAAGTAGGACTTTCTTGTCCAGGTTCTCGACTGACGCGTCGTCGATATTGCTGTGGTCGGTGTGGCCGTTGAGCGTGGGCGCAATGGGCAGCGGCTTCTTGGCCAACTCTATTATCTTTTCCTGGAGTTCGTTATGCGATTTCTGTGCTAGCCGTGACAGGAGCTGGCTGATGGAGAGGAAATTCTCCGTGATGTGCTGGATTTCGTCGGGCAAATCGTTCATCCTCGAAGGGTTGTCGGCAGGCAATGACTGCGCAGGCGTTTGGATCTGCTGGACCGCGTCCATATTGGCGGCACCGTCGGCAAAGTACTTGCCATCCGGGTCGGGTTTGACCATGCCTCCGCCGTCGACGCCGTTTAGTTTGAGGTTTCGGTCGTGATTTGTGCTGCGCACTCCGTTCTGTACGGGTTCCATCTTCATGACGGCAGCCATGTTGGGCGAGCCGGTTACCCACGCACCCTCGTGACAAATTCTGGGACCGAGGCTCCCCCTCCCTCGCGCAGAGATCTCAAGCTGAATGTCGTCGCACAAATCCCGGGCGGACGCTAGCTAATTGTGCCGCTGCCGGCGCTCATCACCGACCGTTTGCACGACAGCAAAGCGAGGGCGGCCCGTCGACTGGTGGGGATTCCGGAATGATCGCTCGAGGATGGATGTCTCTATTGCCGAGCAAGGTAGAGGTCGCAGGAACTGGCGATCGGCGCGTCCGGGGGGAGAAGGCGTCGAATGATGGACCGGGGGTCTGGCAGGCGGCCCGAAAGGATCGCGACGCGCGCGCGCAAAGGACAGGGAGCACACGGGAGCGTCAGCGGCGCAAAGAAAGTGGACGATCAAGTAGGTTCGCTGGAAGGATCGGAAGATTTCGGGCGCGCCTGGAGGTGTTGCGCGGCTAGGGAGGTTGTCGGACTCGAGGCGGTTGATGATGTTGGCGTAGGTTGGGAGATTGGAGAGGCGAGGACCGATACGTTTTTCCCAGCAGGCGCCTGTTTCTGACAGACGGACTGGGCCTGGAGTGGAACAAAGATTGACAAAGTCACGTGTGCACCGCCAATCAAGCAGGGCGGCTCGTCAGTTTGAGCCCCGCCATCTTCCCTTTGTTGGTTGGCGAGGACCCACTGCGGATTTGCGCTGGACCTGACCCGTCAACGCGTGCCTGCCGCCTTGCGGTTCCTTCGGCATGGAGCAGCCCGAGCCGTCGGCATCCAGCTTTATCAAAGCACGGGAATTTTGGTCTCAACTTGGTATTTTTTTCCTGTTAGAATCGCACAGTAAACAACCCGGCTCTATGCTCGAAGAAACAGCCCTCCAGGGCTTCGACACACCTCTACGCCATCCACAGTGTGCTGTCCGAGGTTAATTGATGAGTCCTCGCAGGGAGGGGGCCGTGTTTACTTCCGCTCCATTTGCCATGTCCTTCCACGCCCCCACGTTACCCCTGAGACCCCGGTCTTCCACCCACACTATTCACACTCGTCCCACCTTTCCGCCGTTGGCCATATTATGTGATGAAGCGCCCACGACACCCGGCAAAAAATTCCGTAGTTTAAATCTCTCCTAAAGATCACATTTTCTACGTCTAGTCCCGTGTCCTGCTTCCTATGTCCTTTCTCCTTTTCTTTTTCTTTACTTCCCCCCTGCTTTCTATACATGTCATGTTTCTGTTCTCGGGTCAGTGAAGCTCGATGATATGAAAGGCCGTTGTGACGCCCACGGCGGCCACCCAAAGACATGTCGCCACCAATATAGACACATCGCTCATCGCCCATCCCGATCCTGATTTCTCGGGGCGACAGACCACATGAAGCTTGAGAGCCCGAGCTCATACGATCTTTGCAGACGTCGCTATACACATCACGATACTCGCGATTCATGAGTCCGACCAGGAGCCGAGCGGCCCCAAAATAGATCCCCTTAAAAGCACATCCATATTCTGATTTGAAGCCGGCTTCTCATCAAATTCGGGAATGTTCAAATTCGTTGCTGCAGTCCCCCGTCTATGACCACGTCAAGAAAAATATCCCCCACCTGAATCGCTCCAATACGGCCCTGAATCGCTCCAATACGGCACAGCCCCGGCCAGGGCGTACAGAGCCCAATATGATACGCAAAGAATCTTAACGACAGCGCTGAGTCGCTTCAGGTTTACTTGAGCACCCACTCCCGTCTCCACGAGCAAGCTCCGACCAGGTTCAAAGGCTGCTGCTTTGCAGGCTTGGTCACCTTTGGGCGTGTATCCTCAGGAGGGGAAAGCGATTCATGACCAGCTCAGCTGCGCCGTCAGAAGCACCCAAGGTCACTAAGGTGTTCATTGTCGACTATCCTAGATTGCCTGGCTTGTGCGGCCGGCCGTCGAAGAGCAAAACAGAGAGAACTTACAACTTGTTGGGGTGCATCGCCGACGTGGTGGGCCACTGGTAACCCGCCGCGTCGCTGAACTTGTACCCGTACGAAGCAGTGAAATCGTCCAACACAGCCGGTCCCCGAGAGCCTGGAAATCACGGTCAGGTCAGCCGACGAATCGTCACTCGTGGCCCGCATACAACAGCAGACGCAACACATACCATACGGGTACTCCATCGGGATGATCTCCTTGTTGTCCTCGAGGTAGTGCAACAGGGGCGTGAAGATGCGCCAGCTCGCGTCGAGCTCGTCGTCTCGCACAAAGTTGGAGTGGTCGCCCTTGAGGCAGTCCAGGATGAGGGATTCGTACGCCTCGGGGATCTTGAGGTCCGAGAAGCGGCGGCGGTACGTCAGATCCAGTTCCGTCGCGACCGTCTGCATGCTCAGGCCTGGAAGCTTCGAGTTCATCTTGATGTAGACACTCTCGTTGGGCTGGATGCGCATGACGAGCTCGTTGCGCGGGATGTCCTTGAAGATGCCCGACGTAACATCCTTGAACTGGATCCGGATCTCCGTCTTCTGCTCATTCAGGGCCTTGCCCGCCTTCATGATGAAGGGCACGCCGTCCCACCTCTCATTTTTGATGTATGCTACCAGCGCACAAAATGTCGGGCATCTCGAGTCCTTGGGAACCGTGTCGTCCTCCTTGTACGATGGTTTGCTGCCGTCGAGCGACCTCCCGTACTGGCCGATGATGACGTTCTTGGGCTCGATCGCGGGAATAGCGCGAAGGACCCTGACCTTTTCATCACGGATGTCCTCGGAGGAGAACGAAATAGGTCGCTCCATAGCCAGGAGGGTCAAGACCTGGAGCAAGTGGTTCTGCATGACGTCACGAACGATGCCAAATTCGTCAAAGTATCCTCCACGACCCTCGGTGCCAAAGGGCTCCTTGAAGGTGATCTGGACATTGTCGATGTGGTGACGGTTCCATGTCGCGCCGAGAAACGAGTTGCCGAAACGGAGAATGAGGATGTTCTTGACCATCTCCTTGCCGAGGTAGTGGTCGATGCGAAACAGCTCGTCCTCCTTCCAGTCGGGCTCCAGCGACTTTTGCAGCTCGCGAGAGCTGGCCAGGTCCTTGCCGAACGGCTTCTCAACCTATTCGTGATTGACAACACGGGTTAATGCGGTGCGCACGCAAGCGACAAATGTAGTGGGACGAGGGCTAGGCGGTGCTTACAATGACCCGCGCAATGCCCCTGGTCGGGTAGCAGCACCGTTTTAGGTGCTGGGACACGATTGTGAAGACGCTGGGCGGAAGCGCCATGTAGAAGAGCCTGTGCGCCTCGGGCTTGGTCTGCTCGAGGTCCTCGAGGTGTGCGTTGAGGTTGTAGAAGGACTCGTCCTTGTCGTACTGGCCCGAAACATAGGTGCAGAGGGAGCAGAAGTCGTCCAGCTGCTGCTCCATATCCTTGGTGGGTGTCTTGATGTACGACCGGACCCTCCTAATGTATTCCTCGTGGTCCATCTTGGTTCTGGCATATCCGACAATCTTGATGTCCTTGGGCAGGAATTGGTTCCGGTACTTCCGGGGTGTTAGCTCCATGCCCAGTCGAGCGGCCTTTGTTCGCGGGAGACCGAGGACTTACGAGGCCGAAGAGCGCAGGATACTGTAGATACTTGTTAACATGCCGCTTGGGCGTCGATGATGTTTCTATTGCGTATTTGGGGGCGAGGAACGTACTGTCTTCTTCTTTGCCAGATCTCCGGACGCGCCAAGGACCACAATGACGGTGTTCTCCTTGAGCTCCAGCTCACTATCCGGAACAGCTCCATGTTAGTGCGATCCCCGCGCTTTTACCACTCACACCCACACGGAGCGAGGGTAAATAGTCTTGCGATCAACCGGCAGGAGCCCGACAGATGCAAAGCGAAACAAGTGAAGAGCGCGCAACCCGTAATCTGCGCAGGCGAGGAGGGGGGGAAACCTCGAACAGGCATCGTCACCGACAGCCGTGGTGGGGTGGTAGTACTTACGCAGCAGCGTGCGACTCGGCAGCCATTGTGATCGCTTCGTCCACCGGTTGCAGACTCCTGGGATGAAGAGAAACTCGAGTTTAGAGGTAATCGATTTCCACAGCTAGAGCCGAAATTCTCAAAGAGAGGGACGAGAGGGAGGTCGAGGACGGCGGGCGCAGATTTGGTTCGGGGTTGACAATGGGACTGGACTCGACTGCAGGTCATAGAAATTGGGAGCTCCAGGTGGGCTGGTGCGAGGGTATCCTAATCCCGGACACTACGATGAGCTCGAGCCAGCCTGCCAAGGTACCTGCTCTACCGGGCGGGAGCTTACTAACCCCTGAGGGACTGCGGGGGTTTCTCAACGCTGGTGGCGGGTCCCCGTGGGCGGCGCAGGAAGGGTGTGGGCGTGCTTGCGCCAGCGCTGTTGTGAGCTGCAGAATGCACGATACGTCGTCGAGGTTTACGTGGTGCGGCCTGCATCATGTGCTCCTGCTATTGGCGCAGCTTCCTGCGCCGATTTTTGCGAGGCCCAGGCCGTACGGCAGGGAGAGTTGAAGCCGTGCGGACATGCTGAGAGACATGCTGAGCGCTGCGGGATTAACGTCCCAACGTCCCCCTCCACGGCGAGACCCCAGCCCATGGAGCAAATATCACTGCACCTCCAGACAACCTGGACCCTCAGGGCACCTTGGAACACTGCGTGACCGCTATAACTCCGCATTCCAAATCAAAATATCCACATCCCTTGTTAGGCCATCCCGGAAAGTCAAGAGAGTCGAGAGGATGGCAAAGGCGCATCTGGATTCCGACGCTGAGGCTGGTGCGTGACAGTCGGTGTCATTCCGAGCAAATGGGCCACCACTTTCCTAAGAAAGCACAGACACATGGTGCATCCTTGCGCTAGCCCAGACCATGTGCAGAACGGTTTGAAACGATTGGCGGCAGGGAGTCGTCGCATGGGACTTACCAAGCGTTGGGTGGGTGAGGAACAACGGGATTTCAAAATAAACCCCATGTTTATCAGCATTACCCATTATCAAACCCAGCGAAACATGCATCTGGGCGGATGCTGAGGCGAGGTATTTCCGCCAAACTCCGGCGGGGAAATTTGCTGTGACACTGAGCCTTTGACAATTATTCCCAATGCCCATCACCTACTCGAAAAGGATGGGCAGTCTTACAGGAGATCCCAAAGATCAAGTAAATTTGTTAGTGTCGTAAGCTCTCCTATTCTTATTTTTTTCCCTATAATTATTCCTCTGATTATTCCTGTTTTTATTCTTTTTTCTTAGTCTTATTTTTGTTCACGTTTTTATACCCATCACTATTTGTACTCCTCGAAGGAACTGGCATCTTTTTTGTGGTGGGCGTGGTCGTCTTTTTCTCTCTCTCTTTTTATAAGCAGCAGCAAACAACAGTCCAGCAGCAACCCAAAGTTCCGCCGGTTTCGGTGGGGAACCTTGGCTGCGGGCTTAAGCCTTCTTTCAACCCATAGGTGCGGTAAGAACTCCGTTGGGTACCAGACTCGCGAGGCGAACTGGGTCGCTCGTGTCCAAACTCCGCTGGCGAAGACTCCTTCAACTCCGCCATGTCTGACCCGGCACATCCGCGCAACGCAATTGTCAGCAAAGTGAATGGGTCTCCACTATCAGTCCGCGGCCCTAGCATGGAGATCCGAAAACGGACTGAGCAGCCGCGGGCAGAGAAATATGTTTACTTCTCTACTTCCAGAGCGAACACGAATCTCCTCACCCGTTTCTTCGCGCACCTGCCTGTCTCCCTGAACCTAGTTCTGACGTCCGGATTCGTGCCGGTGTGTGCCGCTTGCTGGAATAGTCGCGTTTTTTCATCTCCTGCCTTACGTACCGTAGCGCCGATACCAAAGTTGGTCAGTCTGGGGGTCCAATGACGAAATTCTGAGGTTGGGTTGTGGGTGCACAAGCCAACAACTTGTGCCAACCTGGATGTTTTCGCGCGGGGGTCTAATGCAGCCACATCCAGCAGCCACATCCACTGCCCCTTCAGCCACCAAAGCTGGGGCTCTTTCCCAGTGTCTTCCCCCACTTCCCGCAAAATGGCTGCCAGTCACATGACAGAACCCTAAAACTGTGCGACTCGCTGTTTCCCACCAGCCGATTTTTGGGGCCACTCCTTTTGTGGTGATGAGCGTTCCCACCCGGCGAAGTTGAACCACGACCAACGATACTAACCAGCAGCAAAAGATCGATTGTCGGCAACCCTCGACGACCGTCTCCTTAACCGTGGCCAGGAGATTTCGATAGTCGAAAGACATCAGCACCACCAAGATGCCTACCGAGGCCGGCCACAGATGTGAGTATTGAAATATTCCCACGCCGCCGTCGGAGCTGGCGCCGACGCCGACACGCTCTTGCGGCCGCGTCATGGCCATGGCGCGCCCGCCCGCCTGGGTCTGTCTCGGGTTCTTGGGTGCTAATTACTTCGCAATTTGCAGTATACGTCAAGTAAGTTGTGCTCGCAAGCTCACTCGCCGACTCCTCCCACGCCGACGCGCCCACGCTCCATCGAATTTCACGGCTCGCGATGCGCATATGCCATGCCGGCGTGCCTCGCTATTCCCTGCTCGACGGGACATTGGACTGGATGGACTTTGGAGGATCGGTGGACTGACGAGAGATGCTACAGGGGACGCCACGTGAGCTACCAGCGTGGCCGCCACTCCACCCACCCCGGCACCAGCCTGATCAAGATTGAGGGTGTCGACGACACCAACGCCGCCAAGTAAGTCACAACCCTCGGGTGTCCCGATACCGGGAATGATGGAGCAGCAGGTGGGATATGCACGAACTGACATGTTGTGCGCAGCTTCTACCTCGGCAAGAAGGTTGCCTACGTCTACCGCGCCCACAAGGAGATCCGCGGCACCAAGATCCGGGTCATCTGGGGCAAGGTCACCCGCCCTCACGGTATATACGCCCACTCCGATCTGTCTTGCTTCGCCCCCACGGCTCCCTGGACAGCTGCAGCTGACATGACGAAACACAGGCAACTCGGGCGTCGTCCGCGCCAAGTTTACGTCCCCCCTTCCTTCCAGGTCCTTCGGCGCTTCGGTCCGCATAATGCTTTACCCCTCGTCCATATAAAACATTTCATTTCCGGGAGTTGTGTGGAACGGGTATCTGGCTGCATTGAGGGTTCGGGCAAAGGATATGACAAGCTTTTTCTGCGCTTGCTTTTTGACGCTTGCCCACTAGGCAAAAACAACGGAGAGGGAAAACAAAAGAACATTCAGGGAATTCCGGCATTGTCGACTATGCGGCTCTGGGATGTGATGCCGCCTCCGCTCGGAGAGACGGATGGCGGCAGACTGGGGGAACTCGGCGTTTGGAGGTTTGGTTCAGGGCGGTAGCCGTCCGGCGTGCCGACATTGCCCTGCTTTACTTACCAGGCCGAGGTCCGGTCCCTGGCGGCGTTTGATAGCAGGATTCAACATGAATGGTCAACCCTCCGAATTCATGATGCGATGACATTTTTGTTAAGTTGCTTCCACCCCAAATTATGTCCTCTGGCTTTGTGTTGGGAAATACCAGGCAGCTCGAGTTCTCTCTGTCGCTCTGAGAATCCTGATTTGGCATGGGCAGAAGAGGGCGAGATCGCCACCGCACCTCCGTACAGAGGGTTGGAACTCTGGAATTCTTGAGCTGTCGATGTGGGAGTTTGCCAACACCTTACGAGTGTGGTGATGTGCGGACATTGTGATGTATGGCTTTTCCGCCTTTTCGAGCGATTCTCACTCATCTGGTATGAGGTGAGATGATGTGACTTATATCAACACCATGGCGGCGTGACCAATTACAATATATCAGTAAAAATCGAAAGGCCAGGCCACGACGCAGAAACGAATCATGACAGGTCTCAATGTCTATTTTATCATACGGCTCTCTTAGAAAGGACATCCGAGACAATGTCCACATGATGATATGCTGGGTTCCGTCTTCCAACAGGAGCGCCCGAATCGCGGCATGTCTGGAGCGGCATTAATCAAATTGGTATTGTTGACGGGCGCATCAACCCGAAACACTGAGGGCAGAGAGCGAGAATATAGAGACAAGATCACTGGTAAGGAAAGAGAGGCAGAGTGGTTTCGGGTCGCCGGATATATCGGCAAAGTTGGAACGGCCGGCAGGCGGATAAGACAGGATCAAGCCGGCCGAGGAAACCCGACGCCATCCATGATCCGAAACGCGGGCGACGTGGCGGCGGCCTCTGGCTTTTCAGGTGATAAGGAAGCTCCGACGACGCTGGCTAGGGGATATCGCGACGTCCTCCTGTTGGGCCCGTCGGGTGCCATTGATAAGGGGGTCATCCCGGAACGGGCATCGCGCACGGCAAGCAGCCCGCATCCCGCCGGGGATGGCGCTGCAAGGAGCCACTTCCGGCAGGCCGTCAATGGAAAACAGGGTCGGCACATTGCGGGACGCGAGTAAGATGTTCCTCTCTGGGGAGACACACGCTGGCAGAGATTTGCTCTCAGGCCGTCCATGGATCCCATTGTCCTTTTTGATGTCTCACAGGAGCATGGCTGGTGTGAGCATCCCGTCTTCGGTCCCACAGACACGGGAGATCGTGCCAGGAACAGGACGTACGAGCCGCCACACAACGCGCGACGAGGCCAATCAACCTGAGCGCCGGGGCGGCCGTGGAAGGAACATGAAGTTGACTCCCCCGCCTTCCGGAACACCCCCTGTCGCCCACTTTAAATCAACCCGCCGCCCGGCCGATCAGTGGGCCTTTTTATGCCGATGGGCCCTCTGGATGGTGTGGACGCCACTGGGCACTCGACTCGATGGAACAAAAGAAGGAAAAAAAACGCCTGCCTGGGGCCCCTGGAGCTAGGAAATTGCCCGCTGCAGGAGGGCGTTGGCAGATCTCTTCTGGGTCCACGCCGTGACGCCCCTTTTCCTACTTGGCGAGTGTGTATCAGCGATGGGGGGAGGTGGGGACTCCAGAAAAGAGAAGCAGCTGTCGATGGGATGAAGAACCAAAGATGAACCGAAAACGCGGTACAGTGGGTGATGGGAAGAGATGGGAAGAGATGGGTTTCGTCGCAGGCTCTCCGGACTCGGCTACAGTGACTTTAAAGCACAGTCGGTGAGTGCTATCAGTTGAACAAGGGCACGGCATGATAGCCTAAGCTTAATCTGGTGACAATCGGGTGTATCCAAGCTAGGCCGGGCGCCAATGCATCGGTGTGTGATAACTGTCCGGTTTTTCTCACATTGATGTTAATGGGAACCTAACTTGTACCTTGAGAAAGCTGCGCCTCCCTGGATTATCTCCGTTGGCAAATGGCACTGTCTTGGTTGCTTCCAGGGTCTAAACCAACAGGATACCGGTTGGGAGAGTGACCATGCATTTAAATACCAATCTTTGAAGCTTGGAAGTCATCCATGATTCCGTTGCTCCGTTCTCCTACGAGCCCACGGCACGCTTACGAAATTCCGGGCCTAGGCTCTATGCATGCGGCGTGGGGGTAGCCAGCCTACTGCAGCTTGAAGAAAAACTCATACGACTTTTTGGTCTGATCCGGCCCTTGGGTCTCGGCGCGCACAGTTTCCTCCAAAGTCCGTCCGTCGCCTCGGCGGCTTGCAGCTGCAGCTCTCAGCTGGCCACCATGTGTTCGGACTCCCGTTGGTAGAAGCCAACCCATGCGCTAGGAGGACTTAGTCCTAACACTTTTTTTTTTTGTCCTTTTGGGGCATTTCTGGTAATGCGCGAGAGGTACAGGTTGTGGCAAGTGGTGGCGAAGATTGCATGTGTAATTGGGCGGAATGTAGCAGAGCGGAATGCCCAACTCCAATGTAACTTTGGATCCGCGCCCAGTCTGGTAAAACATTTATGCATGCTTTCGAGAGACATTCCATGCGGTCGCTGGACCTATCGTGGTATTCTTGATTCCTGCCGTGTCTGCAGCACAACTTCAACTCTGACCGTCCTTGGGACTTTGAAGGACACAGGCACAACTGGCGGCCTTGCCGCCAGCACAACGCGGCCGGCCGAGATGCTGCTGTCCCATCCATTCTGGCGGACGGGACAGGGATAAGTTCGCCCGGCACCTGCTGCAAGCTAATCAGCGTGCTAAAATATCAGCTCGCTCCCCATTGCGTATGTACACGTCAAGACACAGATCTACTGGAATGGAGGAATGCATGGCGGTCAGCACGGCCGGCTCGAAGCACAGCCCGCGCATCCATGATGCTTGATCAACACCCCTGAAAGTCTCTCGACGGCGCCTTTGTGCGCCTCGGGAGCTTGCCGGCTTTAGTATTTCTGTCGCTGTCGCCCCAAAGGCCTAAGAAATATGGCGGCGCTCTGTGGCAGGCCCAGGTGGCGTGTGAGTTGTCCTTTTGTATTGCGGGGGCGACCCAACCATCCCGAGGTGCCGCAACATGCATACATCCCCCAGCAGGCTCGTATTCACGCCCACTGCGTCACCCGTGGAAGTTGATTCTCGTATCATGGGCCGGCCAGATCACCACATATGCGTGCGTCACTTGTTTACCGCGCCGCCGCCGCCGCTTGGCATGTTTTTGCACTGATATACGCATGTAGCTGCTGTCACAGCCTCCCTGCGCTTCAAAATCTGTTCCGTTCTAGTTGAGCTGTTTGTTCTGCTGTGCTCGGAAATCCGTGTTTTCAGCCATCCTCGTTGTGGGTAGACTGTCCCACTTAAATTACGATCTCGATCTGCCTAAATTTTTGTCGCTGATTTTTTTTTTCAATCGAATAAATCGGTCCTTTGTTCGATTTTCCTCCGTCGGCCTTACACTGTTGTCGCGCCTTGTTCTAGCTGGGGGTCTTCTCTGAAACTCCCTCCCCTGTTCCACCAGTCGCGGCGCCAATCCCCACTTTGCCGCCATTGGAACTTGCCCAAGCGACTGACGTAGGCTGCTTGCTGGCCGCGCCATACTTTCCACGGGCCTGGGAGCACACAAAGGCCGGCAACCAAGAATAAAAAAAAATAAAAAAAATAATAGCATTGGAAACGACCGACAGCAAGCCGCGGCGGCCGTCTCCTCTTGTGTGGCGTCAGCCCTGGTATTTGCGACTCATTGGATGCCACACACACACGTGTTAAAGAGAAGAAATCGCCATCGCTAAAGCCGCCGTCCATCTCGCCTCTCGCCTTGACCTGCCCCTTCTACTGGTCGTGGGTCGTGCCTGGTTCTGGTTGCCCGGCGGAGTCAAAAAAGTTTCTCGGCAGCTTCTATGGCCCCAGCCACGCACGCACGTCGCGTTCTCACTTCCTTGATTTTCATGACCGCTCGCACTCACCACTCCCACTCTATTTTGCGACAGGACCAGGGTCTATCCACAGGCCCACCCACACACGCGGCTAGCGGCCCAGGCTAGGTCAACACCACCTCAGCGAGCAGCGCGCAAGCTCCCCCAGCCCCCACTCCGTCACCGTTTGCTAGCGCTCAATCCCGCCGCAACGCGATAAGGCGGCCACCTCTTCCTCAACCCCCGACAGTCCCAAGGCCAAGCGTGAAATGTGGATGTTGGCGGAGGAGCACAGGTCTTGACGTTTCCCTATCCCCCAAAAAAATCTCCCAAGGACCTCAACAATCCCGGCAGATACGCGCCCAGGTCCTCGGATCACCGATCAATTCCCTCTTTTCTCAAACGGATCCCAGCGCCCTGTGCTGCCCCATCGCCAGCATGGCTACCTCGAGCAATCCGCTTCCTCCGATCCCTCCGGTTCCTCCAAGCCACTTCTATCAACAGCAGCAACAGCAGCAGCAACAACAGCAGCAGGCGCAAGGCTATTATCAACACCCACAGCAAGCGCAAGTACAGCATCCTTATCAGCAACAGAACCGGCAGCAGCAGCCCCCTCCGCAACAACCCCAGCGCCTAGGCCAAGGCAGCAGTCCCGACGGTCACCCGCGAGCGGGCCAAAGGAATAGGACCTTCAGCTTCCAGTCCAACAAGTCGCATAAGAGCACCGAGCTTGTCGAGACGTCCGCCGAGAAGGAGGCGAAGCGACTTCACAGCAAGGCAGATCCCACACTGGCCATGAGCGAAGCAGAGCCCGGCGTAGTTGCGGCCACGGTCAAGTCATCCCTAGCACCGCTGCGAAATATGCGGCATAAGGACATGCACGGGAACGTGATCGGTATGTCGGCTTGACTCGTCTGAAGTGGTGATCTGCCGGCGCGAGGCCATTGCGCTCGCATGTGCATCTAGTTCGCATGCTGACATATTCTTCCTACCTTCTATTACAGATGACCCTGACAGGTCGAATCCCACGCGCAGCCGTTGGGAGCGCCCGCTCGACACCATCCGAAGCTTCGAGGCTGCTATAGACGGTGGCTACAATAATCGTCAGTCGATGATCATCCGATCAGGTGGGTGACTCCTACGGCGAACGATATGATCCACAGACTCGTCTCGCGCCAGCTCTCCTCCGGCTCCCCAGACCTCCTGCCGCCAATCAATTACTGACCAACTGTCGCCCAGACTCTGACTCGGTGATGAATTGGGATCGCAGGAGCAGCTACGTTGCTCCTAGTAACGCGGGTGGTATGTCCATGCTGCAGGGGGCCCGCGCGCCCCCACGCCCGAGGTCAATGGTGCATGGCCATAGCCAGCACAGGCTGACGCGACCTCCTATGCCAGGCAATGCCTACAACGGTCGTTACCAGCGTGATAGCTATTACAGCACGAGAGGGGGTCCGCCAGACCGGCGATACGGAGGGTGGACGGAAAACCAGGGCGACCCCTACGGCTCTCAAGGGCACAATGCCTACAGCAACGTTCCGCGGACCAGATTCTCTAGGATGGCATCTGAGCCGCAGTTCCCCGCGCAGAGGCAACCCGAGCCCAACAGCGTTTACCCGATGCCGATGAATCACCAGTCGTACGAGACGGTAGCGTCAGGGTCTGGGAGTGGCTCGTCGGGGGAGCACGCAGGTTACCAGACCGACCCGACCAGCAGCGACAACAGCTCGATCGAGCGGGTCCAGTCTCCCCCTAAGCGTCAGGATCCCGTAAACGACTACGGTATTGGCTTCAGCCAAAACTCGAACTACCAGGCACCATCCTTCACTGTTGCCGTCAACAGTGGCCCCGTCACACCGCAGGCCAGCAGCAGCAACAACACTATCCCAATCAACGAATCCCCACCACCAGCCGTCCCGACTAAACAGAACACGATTCTGAGGAAGCCGACCCGAGCTCCTTCGACGGCATCGGTAGCCACCGAGAAACCAGGCATGGGCGAGAAGCGTAAGAGCTGGTTCGCGCGCCGTTTCAGCAAAAACTCCTAGTTTTTTGGCGGTCGCTATATTGCCCAGCTGAGAGCGTTATTTTGCCTTTTTTTTTTTTTGTCTTTTTCCCCTCCTCCAATCCGTTCTCTCTTTATTACTACCACCTATCTATTCCCTTGATACCCCGTTATTCTCGGCACACATCGGGTGCCAACCCGAGGCGTACTTGTCACACCCTTGGGCTGGTCCAGGTGTTGTGCCACACTGTTTGGAGGAGCCCGATACCAGCGGGATCTTTTAACACGCTCACTGCTGGTTTCAGGTTGCGTTATATGCTTACTGGAATCTCAGTATACGCTATGAATGGACTCTTGGGGTGCCGGAGGAGATTTGAAGGGTTGGAACCATTAAAACTTGCACATCTTGGGCTGCTGTGAGGGCACTCGGGGGTCTCGTCACACCGGCTGGATTTGCAACAAGGGAGCGAGGCTTCGACCCCAGGTACAGAGGATACACGGGACTGGGGGGTACATACGGTATACGATTTTGATGTACTGGCGTCGGGACGGCATTGTTCTTATCTTGTTCTCTACATCTTTCACCCGCTAATATCTCAGAGACGCGGTCTGTCTTGTCTGGTAGAAGGATAGGGACAGACTCGAGGCCCCAGCGGATGCATTCCTAATCACACCCGAGCGCGTCCTCAGGGATGTTATCGGGCAGAATGTTATGATCCATCAAACAAAGGAGGTTCCACGGACGGTAAAGCTATGCGCGCGTGTGCGACAAGTGCAACGTGACACGGGGCGGCGGGAACTCGTGGAATTAGGCTCACTGGCTGGCTTTTCTGCCGGGTTCGCCGAGGTGGTCGGATCGCACGATACGTTCTTTTTCCCGACCGGAATGTTGAAAACATGTCGTCAGCGCCATACCTCTAGGATCGGAACGACTGAACAATTCCAGCCAACACCAGCACTTTCTTTGCCTGATTAGTGCCGCAGAAATGCCTTACGCACGCATATTTCCTGGATGAAAGGCTGTGCTCTTTTTGGGAATGGGGAATGTAATGACATCGGGGAGTGGGAAGGGATGTCGAATCAAGGAAAGGGGTAGAGAAGTGCACAGGCAAGATGGGGAAAAATAGAGCAAATGATACAGGGGGAGGGTGCATATAGAAAAAGGCGAGCTACAGGCCCAACTGTAGATTTTTGTGATCGTCATAGTAAGCGAGGAGACAAGTACTGGAAGCGCCGACTCTGCATGTCCTCGGTCCTTCACAGTCTATCGAATACCAATGATCTGGCCCATCCCGTTGTGATGTAAAAACATGGTCACGGAAGCCTAGCCACTCTGTTCAATCCGGGGATTCCATAAAAACAAGGTGTACAGTCAACCGGCATAGCAGCAGATGTAGCCAAAAGGAAGACCCGAAAGCAACGCAGGGCGGCATCTGGCCGATGTTTCAGCTCTTCTTCTTCGCTTCCCTTTCTAGCTGCTCCGACTGATCCTCGTTCATGGCCACGACAACATAGGCAATCAAGACCACGTTCGCCATGATAGCAGCCAGGGCTCCAGCATATGTAGAGTTGCCTGTCCACGATACCAAAGACCAAACGGGCAAGTGATGGATGGGAATATTAGCAATGACGCATCTCAAATGGAGCCCCGTGCAAAAGCCAACCAGAGCCTGGCGGGCAGATAGAGAAGAACCCACCACTGAACACGTTGTTGACGGTGGCAAAGTAGGAGCCGATTGGCACGACGATCATGGCAAAGGTGAATGCCAGGAGCTTCACGATAACATCACTGTTTCCACAGGGCGTTTCCTGTCAGAGCATGTCTTTGCTTCGGCAGGAGTTCTCAGGAGACGAGTGAATGAGAAAGAAAAGGAGGAACGAAATGCTCACAAGGGCACGGCGGGGGTCGTGTCCGACTTCTCGCCCGCGGCCGGGCTGGCGCCGATGTGGTCATCCTTCTCCAGGACTGTCTTCTCCGACGCCACGATTCTTCTCGTCGCCATTTTGGGAAGCGCTCACGACAATGCTGTCGAGCGAAATGAACAATTAGAGCCTGGGGGATTTGCGTGGCCCTGAACAATTCCTCGGTATCTGGTGTATTTTGCGGCAGATAGAGGCGGCCGTGATGTGTGAAGTTCAGGTGAGAATGGCTGGACAGGCCGGCTTGTTGACACTGTGCTCACTTGGACTGTGCTTGGCGTAGGGCGGGCACGGTCTTTGCGATGGACGAAAAGAGCCTCACTTACAACAGTTGAACCACAACCGCCAATTGAAAAGGGAATAGAGGCTAACTGGATGGAAGCCGAAAATCTCTAATATATCAACGTTTGTTTCCCATTTTTCTCTCTAATCCGATGCCAAATGCGTTTCGTATGTTGCATATAGAGTGATACTGCCCTGGAGTTAGGCAATGCAGGTACATGGCTCTCTCCCCCTACGCAGCCTCGTTAACACGGCTCGACCCGACTGTTAGCTGGCCTTACGAAACAAGCAAAGAAGCTGGCTGAAGCTACCCAGTTGTTTGCTTCCGACAACGAAGTACTCAACAACGAGTTGCCAGCTCAGCAGGGGGAATATCGTGGACCAACTGTGATCTGCCCCATAAACAGAAACTGCCCCACTGTCCGTTGTGCACCCCAAGATCGGATGGTGGCAGAAGAGGGCACGTGTTAGCGTGTTTTTGGAAACCCCTCGCCAGCCTGGCAACGCGTGCCCGGCGTGTTCCCCGGCGCGCCCAGGCACGCGCCCTACGTGGGGTAAAAAAAAAAAGCCATTTGCTCAATCCCCGTCAGGTTAATCCCGGACCTCACCGCCGCCACTTTTCCCCGATCCCTTCCTAGGCGGACCTCACTTTCCTAGAGCACACGCACGCATCTTTTCGTTGCTCCTGCACGACATCCTGCTTTGTCTCTTTTCAGCCTTGCCACCCGAAGCGGTGCCCATCTCTGGATCCTTTTGCATCTCTATTTGGTCTTTTGTCTTTTGTTCCTTAACCTAGTCGGATCCACTTCTTGGCTGCCGCGCGCAAATGACTTCGGTCTGAACTCTTGTTGCTCACGACGCTCTCGCTCTGAACAACAGTCCATGTCGCACACCCTTCCCGCTCACCTTCCCGTCAATGTTCCACTATGCCATTTTCGAACCTAGTTCCCACTCAGCCAGCTTCACCACTGGCACGTCGGCCCAAGGTCGTCATGCCCTCAAGCCCGTTGTCTCCGACGATTGATCTCAGCATCGACTCCGATAGTGACGACGCCGCCCAAGAGTCGACTCTTCCTGCCACTCGGTCGCGGCACTTCACCCAGGCTACCCAGATCGTCGACCGGCCGACCCTCAAGCCTAGTGCCCCAAGCCTTTCCTCGTCCCGGTCGGCCTCGCCCGCCGTCGAAGTTCCTGCATCCTCGCCATTCCGACAGAATGCTTCTGCCGCCAGCGGTCGCCTGGCATCAGCCATGGCTCCTCGTGGCACTTCGTTCCGCCCACCACCCGCACAAATCCGCCAGTCCCGCCAGACGAACTTCCGCCCACCTCAGGTCTTGGGAAAGCGCTCGTCCCCCGTAGCCCAAGCGCGCGATCCGGCGTCCAGCCCTAGGGAGGCGATTTACGTCGGGGACAGCTCGGCAGACGAACGCCCGGCACGTGGTGATATCCCCCGGACTTCCTTCAACCGGAACGACACCAAGGACAGCGCGACCGCATCGTCCATCACCAGCCCAAACACGTCGAGCGCGGCCGAAGCCAGCGAGATCGATATAGCCCCCAAGGGGAGCATCTTGGAGAAGCGTCTGGAGCGCCTGATATACTCCACCTCCAAGGTCAACAAGACCCCTCCGCTCTCCAAGATAGTGCCCAACCGGACGCTTCTCGAGTACCAGACGGCCCTGCTCAGGTGCGGTGAGGACAAGGATGAGGCTGCGACTTGGTTGCTCGACAACCCGGCCACCAAGAAGGCCCGCCAGGACGGCCCAAAGGGCGCCCCCGCGGACAAAAAGGCATCAAAGAACGGAGATGTTAGAAACTTCATCCGATCGTTTGCCCACGGGAAGCCGGATCTCGGATCATCCAAGGCAACACCAATGACCGTGGATGACTCTGATATGGATGAGATAGTTGCTGCGACACCCGATCGCAAGCCTACCAAGAGGCTGCAGCGAGGTCGCCGACCCGGCGCATCTCCCGTATCTTCGCCGGTCAAGTCTGCTATCAAGCCGCAGGAAAAGAATCCCCAAGCCAAGAAGCCCCAAGATGCTCCCGAGGAAGAGGCTTCGGAGGAGGAGGAGGAGCCCATCGCCATCACGGATGACGACGATTCGGACTCGGATGCCTACGACAGCCCTGAGCCCCAGGACGACAATTCGAGGAGCGAGAAAGAGAACCGTGTTCTCAAGTACCTGAACGAGTGCGAGCTCAATGGTCTCCTGGCCATATGCGGCAGCTCCAAGCAGAAGAAGGATGGTGCGAAGGCCATGATCAAGGCCCGCCCTCTCAGGACCCTGGCTGCGGCCAAGGATGTTACAGTTACTGGCAACACCAAGGGCCGAAAGTCCAAGGTCGAGGTCATCGGAGTCGGCGAGGATATCGTCTACGAAGTCTCGAGGTTCATCAAGAGTCTCGATGCTATCGATCAGGTGGTTCGGAAGTGCGACGAGGAGGGTGTTCGCATGAAGTCGATCACGGACCACTGGAACATGGATTCACGAGGCGTCAAGATTACGGACCAGCGCCGAGACGGCCAGTTGACCCCCTCGAGTGCTGATGGCCACCCGCTCAAGGTCCGGGATCTGCCAATCTCGCGTGAGCCCAAGATGATGCAGGGTCGATGCACCATGAAGTCGTATCAGCTTTGGGGCCTGAACTGGCTTCACCAGCTCTACCAGCGCAAGTTCGGGTGCATCCTCGCCGATGACATGGGGCTTGGAAAAACATGTCAGATCATTTCGTTCATGTCCCACATCGTCGAGAGTTATGATCCATCATCGGGAGATGAGCGACCATGGCCGAACCTCATCGTCGTCCCGCCTTCAACATTTGACAACTGGCAGGGCGAGTTCAAAAAGTTTGCGCCCAAAATCAAGGTTACTGTCTACCATGGCAAGGACAGGGAGTGGCTTGGTGACGACATCAGGCATGACCCCGAGGAGCACCATGTCGTACTGACCACGTACACCCAGCTTGGCCGCACTGGTGAGAGGGATCACACCAAAATCATTTCGCGGATCCATCCCAATGTGGCCATCTTCGACGAGGGCCACAACCTCAAGAACTCCAAGACGAAGCTGTACAAGGACTTGTGCAGGATCACGGCGAACTGGAGAGTCCTCCTCACCGGAACACCTGTGCAGAATAATCTGATGGAGATGATCAACCTGCTCAACTTTATTCAGCCGCAACTATTCGATGGTCAGGTCGAAACACTGAAGGACTTGTTCGATCAGAAGGTCACGCTACAGGAGGTGTCCAATGGAGCAATGCTCTTCAGTGACCGCGTACGACGAGCCCGCAGCATCCTGGAGCCTTTTATCCTGCAGCGGCAGAAAGAACAAGTGCTCGATGGTTTCCCGCCCAAGACCAGCAGGGTTGTGTACTGCGATATGGACGAAGCGCAGAAGAAGATATACTACGAGTACCATAACCGGTTCCGGAACGGCAAGGATGTTCGGGGGGCGTCGACAGCCACCAACAGGACGAGCAACGACCAGAACAATGTCTGGATGCAGCTGCGCAAGGCGGCCATCCACTCACAGCTGTTCCGGAGGCACTTTACGGACAAGATGGTGGAGGATATGGCGGATGTGCTAATGCGCAAGGTCCCCCAGAGGCGGCTGAAGCAAGAGAACAAGAAGCATCTCATCGCCGAGCTGAAGGACCTGTCGGACTTTGAGCTCCACGTTTGGTGTGTGGACGAGCCCTGCGTAAAGAGCTTCGATGTCGACTCTGGTTCATGGATGCGCAGCGGAAAGGTGCAGCACCTGTTGGAGCTGCTGCGTGAGTTCCGGCGAAACGGAGACAGGGCGCTGGTCTTTACGCGGTTCGCCAAGGTCAACGAGATATTGTCCGAGTGCCTGGTTACAGCGGACTTGCCGCACCTATCCTTCCAGGGCAGCACCGCGGTAGAGCTGCGGCAGGACCTAATCGACCAGTTCAACGAAGACAAGGACATTACGGCGTTCCTGCTTACAACGGGGGCGGGGGGCACGGGAATCAACCTGGCGACGGCCAACAAGGTTATCATCTTCGACCAGAGCGACAACCCGCAGGACGACGTGCAGGCCGAGAACCGCGCGCACCGGTTCGGACAGACGAGGCCGGTCGAGGTCATCCGCCTCCTCAGCAGGGGCACTGTCGAGGAGCTCGTGTACCGGGCCTGCCAGAAGAAGCTCGAGCTGGCCAAGCGCGTCACGGGCGCGGGCATGCCCGTCGGGGACGAGATCGACGTTGAGGCCGAGGTCCGGCAGATGCTGGCCGAGGAGGAGAAGTAGGCGGGCGAGGACGAACAAAGCGTGATCGTTTCTGGCATCATGAGCACCGAGAACTCGCATTAGATGGCGTTTGTGTATTGAATTCTGGGTTTTTTTAACTGGACTAGTTTTGTTTTTGTTTTATGGCGATGAAATCTTTTCTTTTTTTCTTCTCACACTACATTGCCTCTTCCCCCC